AGGGACAACATGTTTGTGCACTTTCTAAGTATTTCAATTCTGTTTTTGAATAAAGGATTGGAAATGTAGGTTTTTTTAATCCAATTAATCGAAGAAAATAATCAACAGATTATTAAAATAATCGTTAGTTGCAGCCTTAGTCCCGAGTGATTTGAATTAAGCAGTACTCTGGCATGCACTGATATGTTTTCAACAAGTGCTGAACGATCCATTAAGTGTATAAACAGCTTGAATTCTGACACAAAAACTTTCAAAATGCAGATGAGGCTCAGATTAGTCTGTGAGCTGGCAGGACGTGTTGGCGTTAGAAACAATAACACCCCTTATAAGCACTATATTTTTGTGCCATTAGATCTATTTAACACTTCGCTGCTTCTCAGATCTGATTTTGCTTTTGTAAAAGCATGCCATAATCCTCAAAGAGCTGGCAACCGGGAATCTTGATGGGACCCGAATCAGTCGGACACCGTCCAAACGACGTGTGAAACTTGATTAAGACACAGACCCCCCTGCGATAAGATCTTAATATCTCGATAGCACCAGGATTTGTTGTCTTGTCAGAGATTTGTTTCTTTTTATAAAACAAAAATTGCTATCAAGCAGACTCCCCTGAGCGTTCACCACACTCCAGTCATTTAGATTTACCGCAGCGTTTTCACATTGTTTCAATAAAGGCCTGAAATAAGTCTGCCAGTCACACTTAGTTCTGTAAGTACACATCTCCGACCTTTAAATGGCACTTCGCTCAAAGCCACACAGCTCTTTCTCCGGACTCTCTACATAAACCGAGAGATTTCACCGTATCTCCCGGCTTCACATCACTCGCTTGTAAGTTTTACTTAGATTGTGATCATACCGAGTCCTTTCTTTATCTAGTTCTGGATCTAAAGAGGGCAGCTCGCTTCGCTGTCATCCATTCTCATTAAAGAAACATGCAACATTTAATGACTTTGGAAAGTTCACCTTCACATGCAGAACGCTGCAGTGAAGAAAACATCACAGTGATGTAACGGAGAAAAGCTTGGGAGATCATTAAGCATGTCGTTTAGACGGGATTTGTGGTGAAATGCATTTACATAAAAAGCATCGAAATGCAATTTGAAGGCCATTAGCGGCGCTGTTTATGGTGGGAAATTACCGGGATTTTGGGTGAGAGTGCTGCACTTTTATGCATTATCAGATTAGCCAAAATACTGTATATAAATGAACTCACTGGGGTCGGGGATTGTATATGTGTGATTGACAGATGTTCCAGTTGTGTGGAAACGTGCGAGTTCTCTACTTTGGAGATTGTGTGGTGGTCTGGCTATTAGCAGGTTGAATTATTGATAAAGCCCGAAGTCTAGGAAAAACTCAAAACTGAAACTTAGTACAGGGCCAGTTGTTTTTGCTGAAGTCATGAATATTATATTGAGCTCTTTTACTGTGAGAAGAGTATGTGCTCTTCCCAGAAAGCTTTATGTAAACCTTATGCTTCACAGCAGCAGTGATTTATGTTGGGGCTGTAGAGAAAGAGAATTTTATTATTGTATTTATATATTCACTACCGGTCAAAAGTTTGGGGTCGTTTATTTTTATTAAAAATATATAAATATATATACATTCTGTTCATCAAGGCGGCATTTATTAAATGTAGAAAAGAAAAAAAAGTTAAATGTTAAATATTTATTTATTTAATATTGTATGTAGCTTTAAATGAAATTATTAGTTCAGTCATTCTTGCTTTTATTACTACTACTAATAATAATAATAATGACATTATTATTATTATTATTAATAATAATAATCTTTTTTTTCTTTTGTCTAGTCTTATGTTTTGGTTTTAGTTTAGTTTAGGTTCGGGTGTATTATTGATTTTTTTTGTGTCTTATTTTGCTTTGTTTTCTTTGGGTTTGTTTTTTTCCTTTTTTTCTCTCTTTGTTTTTAGTTTAACTTTTTGTTTTACTTTGTTTTCCTGTTTGTGGTTTGTGGTAACACTTTAGAATAACTATCCATTATAACTAGTTTATAGTTCATTAATAAACTGTTAGTTAATGAGTTATAAATGACTTGTTTAATTTAAAAGTTAATCGTTTAAATATGTATAACTGTGCCTTAAAGATACCCAAAAAAATAACTTGCCAGCTGTTAGTTAACAAGTAACAAAAAATGATTGCTTTCTGCATTTTAATGATTTATAACTATACCTAATAAATTAGTTTCATGTTTAACCTCATGGGTTTGTGTTCTGTTTTATACTGCTGTTCTGAAAGGTGATGGCTCAGTATGTGCGTTTCTATACGTTAAACACAACGTTCAACATTGCATCTGTGGAGTTTCTTTGGAAAAATACAGCACATAGAAAAGCCTATGAGTGGAACAAGGGTAAGGTAGAAACATTTTAGATTTTAAATATCACATCAAATTTCTGTGCCTTGAACTTTCTCCATCAATTTCCTGTTCTACAAAGTTTCACGGGTATTAGTAGATGGTTAACAAACTATGAACAACTGATCTGTAAAGGGTGAGTTAATATATTAGTTAAGTGTTAGTTATTAGCTTATGTATGTTATTTGGACATTATTCTAAACTTGCAACTACTCCTCATTTACAAACAGTTAATAAATGAAGAATAGTTGCAACTTTA